TAGATCCCTAGTTAAAAAATACCCTTTAGTATTCAAGAGGATAAGTTTTAGCTTGGTTTTAGGCTTAGAAAACTTGTAGGGACTGTCTTATACTCGCTAGCCTTCACTTGAGCGGTCTCTTGATGACCTATGATAAAAAGGGGAAAAGGCCACGGAAGGTAACACAAGGCTCGCTCTCTGTGAACTCACTTGAGCAATGCTCATGGTCGCTTGAGCAATGTTTGTCTTAGTTGGGATTGGAATGTAATTTTCACTCCAACGACAACCGCCCTCACTACAACGAAAAACATTTTTTGCGACTTTTTTTTTGTGACGATTTTAAATTTGTCACAAAAAGTTTATTATTTGCGACGATTTTATAATTTTGTCGCAAATTTGTAATTTGACAAATTTTTTGCGACGATTTTTTAAAAACGTCGCAAAAAGTCGATTCTCTCATAATTGTTTTTGACGGGAGAAATGGCAGGAATTGACAATTTTTTGTGACAAAATTTTTTTTGTTGCAAATAGTTTTATCTCGTTACAAAAATAAATAATTTACAATTTAAAGTAAAATAAAGTCTAAATTTATATTTTTTTGCAATTTTTTTGCGACATTTTCTTAAATACGTCGTGAAAAGAAGATTCCCTCCAAAATTATTTTTGGGAAAGGAATTGCAAGAGTTGAAAAAATTTTATTCGCGACGTTTTAAAATTCATCGCAAAAACCCAATATCTGCGACGATTTAATAATTTTGTTGCAAATAATTATTACGGTAATTTTATTCTTGACGTTTTTGTATTTTTCGCAAAAAAGTATTCTATATGCGACGTGTTTTTGAGTTTGTTGCAAAAAATGTGAGAAATGAAAATTTTTTTGTATCACATTAAATAATAAAAAATTAAAATAAAAGAAAATACAAATTTTATTCGCGACGTTTTTATATTTGTCCCAAAAAATGATACTATCTGCGACGTGTCTTTGAGTTTGTCGCAAAAAATGTGAGAAATGAAATTTTTTTTGTCTCAAATTAAATAATAAAAAATTAAAATAAAAGAAAAAAAAATTTTTATTCACGACGTTTTTAAATTTGTCGCAAAAAAAATACTATCTGCTACGTTTTTTTGAATTTGTCGCGAAAAATGTGAGAAATTTCAATTTTTTTGTATCAAATTAAATAATAAAAAATTAAAATAAAATAAAATTAAAATTTTATTAGCGACTTTTTTAAATTTGTCGCAAAAAACCCAATATCTGCGACATTTTATAATTTTGTCGCAAATAATTATTACGGTAATTTTTTCACGACATTTTTTTATGTTCGTCGTAAAAAAGTTCTTGCCTCCCCCTTCCTTCTAATCCTAAATATGGCGGGAAATGACTATTTATTTACGACAAAAATTTTTTGTTGCATATTATATAATAAAAATTAAAAAAAAAGAAAATAAAAATTTTATTTACGACATTTTTAAATTCGTTGCAAAAAATCTAATATCTGCGACAATGTAGTAATTTTGTCGCAAATAATTATTACGGTAATTTTTCGCGTGACTTTTTTTTAATTTTGTCGGAAACCCCTTCACTTTGCCGCGAGTAAATGGCAGAAAATGAAAATTTATTTACAAAAAAATTATTTTTTTCGAAAATTAAATAATAAAAAATTAAAATAAAGAAAAATAAAAATTTTATTTGCGACATTTTTAAATTTTTTGCAAAAAAGTATACTATCTGCGACGATTTGATAAGTTTGTTGCAAATAATTGAGTCCCTCCCCTATTTTTTTTTTTGGCACGAGGGATGACGAGAAACGAAATTTATTTTATTACAACATTTTTTTGTCAGAAATTAAATAATAAAAAAATAAACTAAAATGTTATAAACATTCTATAAATCGCATAGAGCATTAATATAGATCTAAAGAGTAAGAAACTTATTTGAGGAGTGAAATAGTCTAGTTTCTGAGTTGGTGAGCCACTATACTTTCACTGTGCAAATCATCCCATACCCTCAAGAATCTTACCATAATCCTCACGAGCCTAAAAGCTTAGATTTAATCTCACTCATAGTTGAATGACTAATGATTTATTGGATTAATAAGAAGTTATTACAATATGTTATTATTGTTTTTTTTTTTAACCTTTTTTAGGATAGTATTATCAATTAAAATAAATCGTATTAGTTATCACAAAAATAAATAATTTAAAATTAAAATAAAAAAATAAAGTCAAAATATATAATTCGCGACGTTTAAATATTTGGTTGCAGAATATAAATTTTAGTTATTTAATTAAAATAAAATATTAAATTATTAATTGGGACGTTTTTCAAAAACGTCGTGAAAAGGTCATTCCTAAAATTTCCCTCCTACGGACTACTTGTCACACTCTATTTTCCATAGCCTCCATTTCACTCACAAGCCAAGTTCCTCTCCACGATCTCTCTCTTTTTTTTTTCTCTCTCTCTCTCTCACTGAAGCTCCAAATCACAGAAGCTCCACCTGTCTCTCTCTGCCTCTCCTTGCCTCTCCATCGATTGAACTCGAAGAACCTGCCTCTCTCTACCAGTCGTCGAAGCCACAAGCCACATCAGTCCTCAACGCCAGGCCACCGCCATTGCCAACAACGTAGAAACCNCTTGCCTCTCCATCGATTGAACTCGAAGAACCTGCCTCTCTCTACCAGTCGTCGAAGCCATAAGCCACATCAGTCCTCAACGCCAGGCCACCGCCATTGCCAACAACGTAGAAACCCTCTTCGCCCCTCCCCAACCCAGAAAACTGTTAGACCAAAAACAGTTTTTTAGTGTAAAAAACAGAGGTTTTGGTCAACTTTGAGCCTAAATTAAAGTGGGACCCATTAGTTATTTTGAATAAATTTTTGTTAGTTTATATTCTACTCCGTGAGGAGTATAACGTGAAATATTCACTTGCTCAATTCGAGTAAGAAATGAATGAGAAAATAGGCTCCATAGTGACCCTCTTGAAGAGTGAAAATAGAAGATGTGCAATGTGGGGTTTGACACCAATCCCACATTGGTTGAGTAAGAAATTCAACATGGGCATATATAGCTCAAGTTTGCTCTATAGGTTAGGCCCGAAGGGGTACCACAATTTTATGAGTGGAGCGAGCACCTACATGCCTTTGGGTCTACCACACACGCGCGCCGGCCGCCTACCTCACCAAGACCCGGCGGGGCCAGGTGCGGGTGCGGGTGCGGGTGTGCTTTAGACCAAGCCTCATCTTTTTGGAAAAAATTCATTTAATTGCTTGGTTAGGCCCCAAGGGGTACCATAATTTTATGAGTGGAGCGAGCACCTACATGCCTTTGGGTCTACCACACACACGCGCCGGCCGCCCGCCTCACCACGACCCGGCGGGGCCGGGTGCGGGTGCGGGTGTGCTTTAGACCAAGCCTTATCTTTTTGGAAAAAAATTCATTTAATTGCTTGGGCATGAATTTCTTAACCCGAAATTAATTTTAGTATTTGCTCCAATCCGAACCCGTTGGATAGTTCGGATATGCTCCAGTCCAAAATTTTCAAGATGTGACTGTTCGTGAAGAATAGTTATTCAAGGTGTCTATTGGCTGAGTCGGTTTTAATTTATGAGGTGTGTCCTTTAGTAAGGTGACTGTCTGAAAAGTCACTAATGTATCTATAAATACCCAGGTCATGCATTCGTTTTATTCATTCAGATAACCAGACTATTTTCGGCATTAAGTGTATTACATTTCGGCATTTTAAGACAGTACATTTGGAGAGTACACGACACAAGTTTTGGTTCGCTGTATGAACAGATTGAAGTGCTACTTCTGTTCGTGGAATATCATTGTATCTTGGGAGATAGGCGCTCGGATTCCATAAACACCGTGTGTGGGGGCGAAATCTGTCTTCAGGACATAGTGTCAAACACTAGCTTTGATCTACTACAAGTTCAATAACAGTTCCTGTTCTGCAACTGGGTTAGTTTTTACATTAATTTGGCATAGAGTTACGTGTATATGTTTGTTGTAACTCTTCCGTGNCTTGATCTACTACAAGTTCAATAACAGTTCCTGTTCTGCAACTGGGTTAGTTTTTACATTAATTTGGCATAGAGTTACGTGTATCTGTTTGTTGTAACTCTTTCGTGTTTACTGTAACTGTTTTGATTTGTATTACGGTTCTACAGTTCACATTTATTGCTTGTTTTATTTTAAGTTACATGATATCAGAAATATCAATAAGTGATTTTACAATTTTGGAACACCACAAACAACAAAAACACTCCCACCTGAAAGCCCCTCCCCAACTTAGAACCCCCAGTAATCCTTGATTTTTGATCTTTGATTCAACTCAGAGATCAAGCCGAAGCTCAGGTACCAATTTAATCTTTGATTTTTTTAGCGCAAAAACAGATTATTGGTTTGTTTTTTGGGTAATTTATTTTCATGGGTTGGTATGTTTGTTGTGGATTTTGTCTTATACTTTTGTTTGTGGATTTGTTTAATTCTACTCACTTTAATGTTTGACAGTTTTTTTATTGTTTGCTACAAATTTTTGTTATTTGAAGAGGAATTAGTTTTTTAGTACCGTTTCTTGATCTGCTGGGTATGTGGGTTTTTGCTGAAAATGTGTTTTATGGTCTGGGATTGTTTGCAAAAAAACACTCTGCTTTGATGTATATGGGGTTGCAGATGGCTATGCAAAGTTTCACTGAAAAAATTGTGAATTTGATGAACAGTGAAAATTTGTTTGAGTCCCAGGGTGGTCCCATCATACTTTCTTAGGTAAGGCTTCCATGTTTTGGGATTTTAATTTTCACCACATATGCGCTTATGTCAAATCTGGGGGNGTTTGTTTTTTGGGTAATTTATTTTCATGGGTTGGTATGTTTGTTGTGGATTTTGTCTTATACTTTTGTTTGTGGATTTGTTTAATTCTACTCACTTTAATGTTTGACAGTTTTTTTATTGTTTGCTACAAATTTTTGTTATTTGAAGAGGAATTAGTTTTTTAGTACCGTTTCTTGATCTGCTGGGTATGTGGGTTTTTGCTGAAAATGTGTTTTATGGTCTGGGATTGTTTGCAAAAAAACACTCTGCTTTGATGTATATGGGGTTGCAGATGGCTATGCAAAGTTTCACTGAAAAAATTGTGAATTTGATGAAGAGTGAAAATTTGTTTGAGTCCCAGGGTGGTCCCATCATACTTTCTTAGGTAAGGCTACCATGTTTTGGGATTTTAATTTTCACCACATATGCGCTTATGTCAAATCTGGGGGTTGAGCCATACATTAAAATAAATTCACCAATGTAGCAGTAACTCTAGAGTCTAGCTAGAAAATGGAAGCTTGTTGAGGATATCCATCCATTATTGCTAGAACTAAATGTCAGTTTTCCCAATGATGGTACTGGCTAATTTGTTTTGTAGATTGAGAATGAGTATGGGCCACAAGGTAAGGCACTTGGAGCTGCTGGTCATCAGTACATGACTTGGGCTGCAAATTTGGCGGTCGGGTTGGGTACAAGAGTTCCCTGGGTAATGTGCAAGGAAGAAGATGCCCCAGATCTAGTGAATTCATGAAGATGGGCTACTTCTGTTCGTGGAATATCATTGTATCTTGGGAGATAGGCGCTCGGATTCCATAAACACCGTGTATGGGGGCGAAATCTGTCTTAAGGACATAGTGTCAAACACTAGCCTTGATCTACTACAAGTTCAATAACAGTTCCTGTTCTGCAACTGGGTTAGTTTTTACATTAATTTGGCATAGAGTTACGTGTATCTGTTTGTTGTAACTCTTTCGTGTTTACTGTAACTGTTTTGATTTGTATTACGGTTCTACAGTTCACATTTATTGCTTGTTTTATTTTAAGTTACATGATATCAGAAATATCAATAAGTGATTTTACAATTTTGGAACACCACAAACAACAAAAACACCCCCACCTGAAAGCCCCTCCCCAACTTAGAACCCCCAGTAATCCTTGATTTTTGATCTTTGATTCAACTCAGAGATCAAGCCGAAGCTCAGGTACCAATTTAATCTTTGATTTTTTTAGCGCAAAAACAGATTATTGGTTTGTTTTTTGGGTAATTTATTTTCATGGGTTGGTATGTTTGTTGTGGATTTTGTCTTATACTTTTGTTTGTGGATTTGTTTAATTCTACTCACTTTAATGTTTGACAGTTTTTTTATTGTTTGCTACAAATTTTTGTTATTTGAAGAGGAATTAGTTTTTTAGTACCGTTTCTTGATCTGCTGGGTATGTGGGTTTTTGCTGAAAATGTGTTTTATGGTCTGGGATTGTTTGCAAAAAAACACTCTGCTTTGATGTATATGGGGTTGCAGATGGCTATGCAAAGTTTCACTGAAAAAATTGTGAATTTGATGAACAGTGAAAATTTGTTTGAGTCCCAGGGTGGTCCCATCATACTTTCTTAGGTAAGGCTTCCATGTTTTGGGATTTTAATTTTCACCACATATGCGCTTATGTCAAATCTGGGGGTTGAGCCATACATTAAAATAAATTCACCAATGTAGCAGTTACTCTAGAGTCTAGCTAGAAAATGGAAGCTTGTTGAGGATATCCATCCATTATTGCTAGAACTAAATGTCAGTTTTCCCAATGATGGTACTGGCTAATTTGTTTTGTAGATTGAGAATGAGTATGGGCCACAAGGTAAGGCACTTGGAGCTGCTGGTCATCAGTACATGACTTGGGCTGCAAATTTGGCGGTCGGGTTGGGTACAGGAGTTCCCTGGGTAATGTGCAAGGAAGAAGATGCCCCAGATCTAGTGAATTCATGGAGGGATGGGTTGCATACAAGTATAACCTCCCAATACTTCCCCGGTATAAATAATCATATTGCTTTATACACTGCTAACACGTATTACAGAAATTTGGTATCGAACTATGTAATTTATGTGTGGATCCTATCACAAGGAGAAGGAATGAAAGGTAAGGTTCTCTAAATAAAACACACACTCAACACAACCCTTCTTGGGTATATTATTGTTCCACTTACGTTTCTTCTTCTTTCGACTTAAATGTAACAATTGGAGTTATAGTTTGCTTACTCTTGAAATTTTTGGTATATAATTCTGAATTCTTTGTTTTAAGGTGAAAATTCCATGGAAAATGAATTTGGATACGAATGAAAAATTGAGCTATCTGGATAAAAGCTGATGTTGATTTTGTTTGCAGAAAGTCAGGTCAGTGAAGTAGGGGAGAATCAAATTGACAGCACTATTGTCAATGATGAATTGCCGATACAAACCTACTGCAGATGGCAAAACTCCTAGTGTTGTCAATGATGAATTGCCATCAAGAAACTGAAACCCTTAGATGCATAAACATCTGTGTGCCCCAAGTATTCCTACATACATAAAACCTTATGTAAATGCATGTAGCATGATGGCATAAAGAAAAGTCTTGGTTTCTAAGAAGTACTTTCTTAGACATCACCAGGATGATCAATAGTTTAAGCAAAAACATGGACTCATTTCTCATTAAACCTCTGAATATGGATGCAAAGAAAGTTTATGTTTTTTGGCTAGTTCTTACAACATGGCTTAAACATGCAAAGAACGAAAACATTGTTTTCCTTAAAAAGGTATTTGTCTTAAATAATCATTTTTTGATCAAAATAAAAGATTTGCAATTTTCTGCAAATAGCATTTGGATAAATGTGTGTCTCATTTTGTCCATAATGTATTTGCTCATACTGATTTTAAAGTCTGCTCCATAATTACTGATACACTCCCATCTTAATGATAGCCCCCTCACATGCTATGCCTAGATATCCCAACATCTGGCATACAGAGGCTTTGTAAATAGGTTGCATAATTGCTGTTCATTTTTTGAATGTTTAAAAGAAACCACTAGAAAACTAATTTTATGATTCCAGACTCCAAAATGATATAAAAACAATATGTTGCCCAAAAATGTAGGAAAAATGCAATTTAACAGCATAAAGTTTTGCTTTTCTGCTTCAAGAGATTCTACAATACTGCCAAGTTTAGCCAAAATACTGTCGCTTATGTTTTTTGATAGTCCAGACAATTCATTCAATCTTGGATGATCATGGAAGAATTCATTCCCAATGTGGCTGACAGGTTCTGAATTGTGCTTATATGTTTTTCCATTTTTTGGAGTCTCATTCTTTGATGTCAACAAGATATGAACAAGGGAAAAATAATTGAAATGCATTAATTCAATGTGAAGTTGATAGAGCCCCTTACGAAGCAAATTGCTGATTGCTTTACTTTCTCATTGTGAAGTCTTTGAAGCTCAATTTGGTACTCCTCAAGTTTTTTTAGTGAAAGATCATTCTTGTTAACTATTACATTTGATGATGAATCATCGTATTCTGATTGGCCTGCTACTTCTGCAGATATTTTCTGAATTTGACCTTGCACAGCTTGGAATTGTTTCACCCTCTCTTGTTTTCTTAATTGCATCTCCCGCAGAGCTGGGGTGATTGAATCTAGCTGCTCCTTTAATGTTCCTACCATTTTCTCTGGCTGTCACAAGCAAAAATACTTGATTCAGCAAAGGTGAGTAATATTTTTCCTAATAGTAGTAGAATCCGATTGCAATGTATCGCACCATGGGCACAACCTTTGGATGGAAGCCATAACACATTTAGGGAAAATCCACATATAATTGTGTATTTTGTCAAATGAAAAGAGTGTTCTCTGTCAACTATAACATTGTGACTAGTCTTTGAAGTTTTGTTGTAATCATTGAATTTCTTCACTAAGAATTTCAAGTCTGTCTTGCTCTTTAGGCTATAATTGGAGGATAACTGGGTGATTGAGTACTATGTCTTATTTTGTTCATCAATTGAAAGTTTTTGCAATTTGTACAAATCAATTTTATATATGTTGATGATACATCTATACAGTAAGATGCGGTTTTTCTTCAGGCAAATTTTCTATTCTCTTGAAAATACAGAGGTACACTTCAAACTCTCTCCTTCTTTGACTGTTTTCTAAATAGTCTGATCACTTGCAACTGGACTGTTCACGTTGCTATTCATTACACATTCAGCTACATTCTTTTAGCTTATGCCAGAGATTTTGTCATTCTGTCAGCTGGTTTTCTTCTCCTTCAGCTGCTAATTCCAGTTGAAATTTTCATTCTCCAGCTGAGGGTATCTTTTTTTGCTATCTGATTGTTCACGTCTCTTGGACTGCTCAGCTAGTTTTAGCTTCAGAATTTGGGTATATCTCAGTTGGACTGATTTGTTCTAGCTGATTTTTAATGTAGCTGAGGTTTTCAACGATTTGTTCCAGCTTGGAGAATTAGGCAGCAAAGGTTTTTTAATTGAGTGAGTTGGAAATGGAATGGTGGACATGGTACATTCAAGTGATTTGTTTTTATTTCCTTGTGATCAGGATTTCTTTAACCTACTTACTGTATTATTGTGCAATTATCTTAGCATTTATGTCCTGTTAAATGTTCAGACGACATTTTCTGTATTTCTTACCAATTTAAAGATTCTCAGTATAAGAAAAAAACCTTTGCATGGTAATCATCACGTTTTGTTGGTTGAGATTGACATTTTCTTTTTCTTGTGGAACCTGTAGGTTCGGGAGTACATTGATGACACATAAGATTATGTCCACTTCTCCTCGTTCTACCAATACAACTACCTAACCCATTCTCCCTTAGGCCATACTTGTACCCTAGTACTACGGTGACTTCCGCTGCTTGCTTCAAATAGAGCCGAGATCCTAAATTTGACCTCTATAGCCAAACAAGTCCCAAGTAAACCACCACAAGTGTTAGAGATCAAATTACCTAAATTTAACTCTATTTTTTACAACACGTGTCCATCTAGTAAATGACTACTTCAATAACGCCTTACCAGCATGTTAATAATGTACAGGACCAGGTTGCTCATCCCTTGGATATGGAGCCATGGAGGAACTAGGACCCTTCAGTGTCAACAGAGATGGATAGACTCTATTCCACAATGACTATGCATGGAATGAAGGTAAGTGGAATCCATGTTCTTTTTTGAAGTTAATGAACACGTGCTACGGAATTAAATCAACCAAAAATTGCCAGTGGCAAACGTACTATTCCTGGAGTCCCCGGCTGGCGTGGGTTTTTCGTATTCAAACACAACTTCTGATTCTTTGAAAATTGGAGACAAGAGAACAACAGAAGATTCTTACGCTTTTGTTATACACTGGCTTGAGAGATTCCCCCAGTACAAGACACGAGACTTCTTTATAACTGGAGAGAGCTATGCCGGTCGTTATGTGCCCCAGCTTGCTCATATCATCCTATCAAGGAACAATAATAACACGAACCAAACAATCATTAATCTCAAGGGCATTGCAGTGAGTATATCAAATCATCATTTGTTCTTTGAATGCATCAGTTTTGATCACACTTCCATTCAGAAGACTAAAACCAAATTTCAATAAATGGTGCAGATGGGCAATGCTTGGATAGATGATAATACCAACACAAAGGGAATGTATGACTTCTACTGGACACATGCTTTGAATTCTGATGAAATCCATGCAGGAATTGACAAGTAGTGCGACTATATTACTGGAAATTTTTCAGATACGTGCAATCAATATCAAAATCAAGGAGACTACGAATATGGAAATATTGACATCTACAACATTTATGCTCCACTTTGCCATTCATCGGGAAGCAAACCTGGTCCCCCTGGTTCTGTAAGTCCATACTCTAGTGACATTCATGTTTAGTGACAATTACAGAACTCTGTCATGAAACAAGGAAAATAGTGAAAACAATATCATGATAGAAGGAAGATATATATTTTTTTTAAAGGGAGGAGGAGAAAAGAAAGGAGGGGCGGGGGGGTTGCCCTCCACTGCATCATAGAGGTGGTAGTACAACTCCTGTGTTCTGGAGACAATTTCATAGTTAGATTCAACTAAAAGGAGTATTACACACATGGTCATTGACTAGTAATGACTACACTACCATACACAATGAACACCCTTGGTACTTGACTTGAGATTATAATGAATCCTGAATGAGTTCACATCTTCCACACAGTTTTTTCTTTTAAATTAATTAGAATGCTCAGAATTGAGACCATAATGCCATCTAACAAAACCAATAAGGATAGATTTACGACTCACTATTTGAGCAAACCGCCATATCAGTTCATTCAAGTTAAGCCGTACATGATCTTATTCTTAAGGTTACATAATCAGGTGAAGGACTTTGATCCCTGCTCCGACGACTAGGTCTCCTCCTATCTGAATCTACCTGAGGTGCAAAAAGCACTTCATGCCATGCAAACCAGATGGTCGGCTTGCAGGCACTGTCTTTTTATTTATATTGTAGTATCATACACATGGTAACAAAGGTATCACACATTCCAGCCTCAAAATGGATCAACTTCTCAAGTTCGACCTGCGCATTGAACCATGTCATCTTATATCTAGATATGTATCATGTTCAAGTAGAACCACTAACTAGCTTCCCTCCTGAATCTTGCACAGGAGTTTTGGCTGGATAGATAGGCCAACAACCATTCTACCCACAATAAAGCAGATCATGGCAAGTGGTATCATTGTATGGGTGTACAGATAAGTCCTACATGTTTTTTTTTTTGGGTGCTAGTAGATCCTACATGTTTCAATTCATATTATTCACCAAATATCCATTTTTTCTATCAATGAACAGAATACTCTTCTGACACAAACGAAAGCCTTAGAAGCAGGAGAAGAACTTGGCCATTTCACTGGGGGCAGATTGAATGCATTAAAGAGCTATAAGGAATAATTTGAACTTGTTTTTGAAGACTGCGAAGCTGGTCTGTGTTGCTGGATTGAAAAATCTTGGATGTCATGGAGCATTGGATTATTTTTGTAAGGAGGAGGTGGTTGGATATGAAGCAGTTGCATGGAGCTTGCTTGAGGCTGGGTGCTGACATGAGACATTAAATGTAATTAGAGATGGATTAAATCCTCTTGAAGGATTAAAACCATTTTTTCTATTTTTAGAACTTCTTTCTCTTTGATTCTTGCAATTTATTCTTTTTGGAAATAAAATTTTATTTTTTTAAAAAAAGATGTGAAATGTATGTTGAATGGAAAAGATGTGAAATGTATTAATTGTGTTAGTTTTTTATTGAACACATGTATTATTGGTGTACAGGTGAAAAATTTTATTGGAATATCATTTTTTATGAATTATTTTTTTAAAAAAAGAACTTTTTTGCCACGAAATTAAAATCATTGCGAAAAATTGTAGGGACAATCTTTTTCGTGATGATTTTTATACGTTGCAAATGTATTTATTCAATTATTATTTATATTTTTTATTTATGTAAAAAATTATTTGCGACGATTTTTTTACGTTGTTGAAAATTAATTAAATTATTAATTATTATTTTTTTACATTGTTGGAATAGATTTTAGTGACGTTTTTGAAGTTTTAGCGACGTTTTTTATTTGTTGAATTTTTTTTTTTTTTTGCGACGAAAATAAAATTACTTCACAAAATATTTTCTGGGACGTGGCTATTGTGATGAACACGCGACGAAAAAAAAACATCGCAAAAAATAATTAGTGACGATTTTTTTACTTTTAGTGACGAAAAAAATCGTCGCAAAAAATGATTTTTGTTGTAGTGCCTATGATCGCTCTTCCACCAATCGAGTGATTGTTTGCACGTTTGAATTTTCTTATTTACTAAGACTACCCTTATTCTACACCTATAAATAGAGAGTACCTTTCCCACATCTAGGTTAAGCCTTGAGAGAGCATTTTGAGATATTTTTGATGAAGAAATCGATCTTTCAACCTTGAGAGCTTCCACCACAACCTACATCCCTAAGAATCCAAAGACTACCACTTGTAATTCTTTCTATCCTCATAACATGGAGTAGGAGATTTTGTTGGTGAACAAACCCATTGGTGTGCATACCGAGGATTGTTGGCATATCTATAATTGTTCGAGGCCTAGATGAATCGTACGACGAGGAGGTCCAAGGAAAGGTACACCAGACATTGGAGAGGGACTTGTAGCAGAGAGACATAGCAAGGAAGGGAGCATGTTGAGGTATAAGCCTCAAGTACTTATATGTAGACTTGGTGCATAGTTGATTAGGCTTTGGTGAATCTCGAGTGGTTCTTTGCGATTTTTTTGAGAAGTATTTTTTGCGTCAAGAAATTGCTTGTGCCTCTTATTGATTATTGTATTGCATTCGTTAGCACATACGCACACTATGTGTTTGATATTTTAATTGTTAGATTTCATATCATCCATATTTGTGCAATTGACTTTGTGGGATTTGGGATCGCCGTGAGAATTATGAGTGAATTAATTGCATATTAATTAAAATCAATTGTCATGGTTAATTGGGTTGGTGGTGTTTGAAAGGGGTTCTCACATTCATTATTGCATCTTTGTGAGAACAGTTAATTGTGGTAGATATAAGTTTTAATTTGTAATCAAATTGGCTAAAATTAAAAAACCTATTCTCCCACTTCTAGGTTAAGTGTATTGGTTTTTATGTGTATAATCGTGAGGGAAGATCCACATCGAGTTCCCCCTCTGGGAACTACATTAGGGTTATGACTTCCTTAGGAAGGGAAACATATTCAAGATTTATAACATGAGTCTTGGACTTGGTCATTATGGGCACGACCCTAGGTGGGATAGGACTCTGCGAAGGCAGAACATCGTGTCCAAATGAACAAAGGGATGCACCTTCCTCGAGAAATGAAGCATCCCTAAAGATTTGTAACACGAGTATTGGACTCAATCGTTAGTGAAACAGCCCCGGGTGGGATAAGCCTCCAAATGGACCTAGGGATATATGCCTTCCTTGGGAAGAGAAATGTCCTTGAATATTTTCAACACGAGTCTTAGACTCGGTCGTTAGGGGCACAACCCAGGGTGGGATGAGACTTTGTGAAGATAGAACACCACACTCAAGTGAACCAAATATGGTACCCTAACAAATTGAGAGGACATGCCTGAGAGGGAAAGACCTCCAACGGCTAGGTGTGGTAACCAAGAAAATCGAAGAATGATCATGGCCATGCTCCCCTCTAGCTTACCACAAAAAGACAAAAGAAAAAGAGGAAAGACGTAAATGGCACCAAGGCTTAGTAGTTTTCAAGGGAAGAGAAAAAAAGTAGAAACCCATAGGCATTCCAAATGTTAAATTTTCTTGATCATCACCACCCTAGCCATCACACCACCTCCTTAACCTAACCTATGGAGATCACCACCTCATTGTTTGTAGTTGCCCTGGCCTTCATCGTCGCTAAGTAGATTGTCATAATCCTCCCTGTCCCCTTACATGATTTGATCCCTAATATCAACCGGTGTGGCAAGAGGAGGGTTAGAATCCTAGAGATCCTCTCAAAGTGCATGAAAAGGGAACCTTAAGGAGAAGGTTCATCCCATCCTTTCTCATCCCGATTACTTATAGGAATGATGGTGGGGGGGGGGGGGGGG